ATCTAAAAGGATTTTTTTTCTTACTACCTTCCTGCCTGGTTGCCTTTGTATTTAGTGTCAGAAATATGCTCATTTTGTGAAATTAAGCATCCACTTGTACTATCTAATGTCACATTCTAATTTATATAATTTAAATATCATTTAGTCTCACTTCTACAGTTTCAGATGATGAAACCTAGACCCAGAGAATATTTGATTAAACTAGAACTTACCCTCCTTTTTCTCTGCCAGCTAAGAAATGATAACTTTGAAGCTGAAGGTAGATAACTAACGGTGATAGACTGAACTGAACAAAGAGGTTGATAAATTTACTACAGTGGAATTTTTGTGATTATAGTTATCGTTGGTTGAGTGCTTATCTTGTTCTCGGTCTCTGTGCCAAGTGCAGGTGAGTGTGACCCTACAGATGAGAATTTAAGGTGTAGAGAGGTGTAGGAAATTGCTGAAGATCAAATGAGAGTAACTCAGAACATCTGATAACAGCCCAGGTTTATGGAGTTGTATTTGAAAATTGAAATGCAACATCTCTGTATGAATGGTATTTTCTGGATTGATATGTCTGGGTTCTTCCCAAATAAAAATTAAAGAGCCTTTAGACACTAGGTAAAATTGAACCTTAATATAGTCTGTGTTGTTTTGTAACCTATATAAGTTTTTTTTTCTCCCCTCTTTAATGGCCTATAATGCTTTATAATTCTGGAGCTAGAAGGACTCCTTTGAGATGGGATTTTACCACTTCATTTTACAGGCGAGGGAAGACCTTCCCCAAGGTCTTAGAATCAATTAGCGGCAGGATTAGAACCATACCCACTGGGGCTATAGCCAGCACTTTTTTTTTTCCGCCCACCATCAGGCCATTCTCTTCTCTAAGCTGTTGCCAGTGGTACAGTTGTTGAATGCCAGCTTCTCCCTTCTCCCCATTTTCTTGCTGGACAACAAAGTGATTAATGCCTTTGGTAAATTTTTTTAAGTGTGAAGTTGAAGCGATGATGACTTACTAAATGTAGTCAGCCTGACAGATGCCGTCTATTGCCGTCTATATGGAGGAACAAAACAAAAAGCTGCCCCCCATGGTGGTGATGGCCAACTGGACCAGGAAACTCCAGGAAGGTAGCGTGTCCATTCAGAGAGAGCGCGAGGCGGGGGCCTCCTTCTCAGAGTGCTCATGCTCGTCACAGGCAACGGTCTCTCAGACCATGCCCTCACTGTCTCACCCAGGAGAATCCCAGGGTTAAAATATCGCTGAGTGGAGAACCTCTAGTGTTGAGAAAGGAAAGAGTGGGGGCATCAGGGAGGAACTAGCCAGGTACTAGTTGTTCAGTTGCTCAGGCATGCCCGACTCTTTTTTGACCCCATGGACTGCAGCACACCAGGGTTCCCTGTCCATCATCATCTCCCAGAGCTTGCTCAAAGTCATGTCCATCGAGTCGGTGATGCCATCCAACCATTTCATCCTCTGTTACCCTTTCTCCTCCTGCCCTCAATCTTTCCCAGCATCAGGGTCTTTTCCAGTGAGTCAGTTCTTCACATCAGGTGGCCAAAGTATTCAGCTTCAGCCTCAGTCCTTCTAATGAATATTCAGGACTGATCTCCTTTGGAATGGACTGTGTGGCTCTCCTTGCAGTCCAAGGGACTGTCAAGAGTCTCCTCCAACACTGCAGTTCAAAAGCATCAATTCTTTGGTGTTCAGCCTTCTTTATGGTCCATCTCTCACATCCATACATCCTCTAGCCTGGTACTAGGAGTGGAAAATTGAATATAGTTGATGCTAATAAGTTAATGGGTTTCTGCCAGCCACCTTCCTTCCCACCCTTTCACCGCCCTTTCCCCTTCCCCCTGCTCCCTCTCTTCTTCCTATCTTTTCACCATTCATTCGCCTTCATTTGATATACGCTGTGTATCTCTGAACTCATTATGGAGACCTGGAACCTACTCCCTGCTCTGTAGATGCTCACTCTCTTCTTTTTTTCTAATGACCTTTATCTTGGAATAATTTTAGATTTACAGAAAAGCTGAAGTATGGTGCAGAGTCTACCCTCATCCATTTTAGTTTTCTCTGGTGTTGTCTGCTTACATTATCACAGTACATTTGTCGGAAGTGAGAAACCAACATTAATCCATAACCATTAACTGCACTCTGGAGTTCGTTCAGATTTCACCAGTGTTTCCATTAGCATCCTCCTTCATGCCAGGATCCCATCCAGGAGACTGCATTCTGTTGTCATGTCTCCTCCTCTGGTCTCTAACTGTTCCTCAGACTTCTATTGTTTTTAGTGACCTTCACAATTTTGAAGAGTATTGGTTCAGTTATTTTGGTCAAATGCCTCTTGGTTTGGGTTTGCCTGATGTTTACTTATGATTAAATAGGGTTATAGCAGTTGGGATTATTTTTGGAAAGAGTGCCCCAAAGATGAAGTGCCCTTGTCGTCACATCATGTATTAGCTACCTGAAACTCACATGACATTCCTGGTGGTGTTAAACATGATCACTTGTTTAAGGTAGAATTGGCCAGGTTTCTCCACTGCATAATTGTTCAGTCACTAAGGCATGTCTGACTCTTTGTGACCCATGGACTGCACCATGCCAGGCTCCCCTGTCCTTCACTATTTCCTGGAGTTTGCTCAAACTCATGTCCATTGAGTCGGTGATTCCATCCAACCAGCTCATCCTCCGTTCCCCGCTTCTCCTCCTGCCCTCAATCTTTCCCAGCATCAGGGTCTTTTCCAGTGAGTTGGCTCTTCGAATCAGGTGGCCAAAGTATTGGAGCTTCAGCATTAGTCCTTCCAATGAATATTCAGGACTGATTTCCTTTAGGACTGGCTGGTTGGATCTCCTTGTTGTCCAATGGACTCTCAAGAATCTTCTCCAGCGCCCCAGGTCAAAAGCATCAATTTTTCAGTGCTCAGCCTTTATGGTCCAGCTCTCACATCTGTACATGACTACCAGAAAAACCATAACTTTGGCTATACAGATCTTAGTTGGCAAAATGATGTCTTAGCTTTTTAATACACTGTCTAGGTTTGTCATAGCTTTTCTTCTAAGGAACAAGTGTCTTTTAATTTCATGGCTGCAGTCACCATCTGCAGTGATTTTGGAGCCCAAGAAAATAAAAGCGGCCATTGTTTCCATTGTTTCCCCATCTATTTGCCTTGAAGTGATGGGACCAAATGCCATGATCTTCATTTTCTGAATGTTGAGTTTTAAGTCAGCTTTTTCACTCTCCTGTTTCACCTTCACCAGAAGGCTCTTTTTAGGTCCTCTTCACTTTCTGCCATTAGAGTGGTATCATCTGCATATCTGAGGTTGTTGATATTTCTCCTGACAATCTTGATTCCAGCTTGTGATTCGTTTAGCTGGGCACTTCACATGATGTACTCTGCTTATAAATTAAATAAGCAGGGTAACAATATACAGCCTTGACGTACTCCTTCCCCAATTTGAAACCAGTCCATTGTTCCGTGTCCAGTTCTAACTATTGCCTCTTGACCTGCATACAGGTTTCTCAGGAGACCCATAGGTGGTCTGGTATTCCTATCTCTTTAAGAATTTTCCAGTTTGTTGTGATCCATAAAGTCAAAGGCTTTTGTATAGTCAATGAAGCAGAAATAGATATTTTTCTGGAATTCCATTGTTTTTCTAATATTGCAAAATTATCCCTACTATTTTTTCTCTGGGAAAGAGTCATCAAGTCGAGCCCACACTCAGGGTGGGGAAGGATTAAGCTCTGTCCCTGGGGGTCTGTATCTACATATATTGCTTGGAAACCTTCTGTAAGGAAGACTTGTCCCTTCCCCTTCAAATATTCGTCTCTTCATTTATGCCATTATGGACTCATAGGTATTTATTTTATATGTTGGGTTACTATCTAATAGTACGTTCTTTATTCCGTTGCTCACCTTGTTCCAGCCTTGGGCACTCAGAGCTCTTTTCAGGTGTCTCTGGTGCCCCTTGAATGCCCCTGGCCTTCTGTTTATTCAGCACTTCCTGGTGTACGCTCTGCTCCAGGCTCGTCTTCTGTTTTCCCTGCTGTGCTTGCTTGGTCACTCAGTCGTGTCTGACTCTTTGTGACCCCATGGACAGTAGCCCACCAGGCTCCTCTGTCCATGGGATTTCCCAGGCAAGAACCCTGGAGTGGGTTGCCATTTCCTCCTCCATCCCTCCCCCACGCAGGGATTGAACTTGCTTCTCCTTTGTCCCGTTCATTGCAGGTGGATTCTGTACCACTGAGCCATCGAGGAAGCCCCTTTTTTTTTTTTTCCTGCTCTAGCCCTAGGATTACCCATGTATCCAGAGAGCCCCGATTCCTTTTACTGGAGAATGGTATTTAGAAATTAAGGCCTCATTGTCTTTTGAGAGGAAGGAGACAGAAAAAGTGAAAGCTGTCCTGTATGATGTACAGTGGGATCAGGAAGCAGAGAAGACAGGGTGATGACCTCCACTGGGGACAGTCTTCCTTAAAAACACAGCGTTTGAAGTTCAGGCAGTGTTTCCAGATGGAGAGCAGGGCTGGGGGAGCTGGCAGAGGGAGGAGTGGGAGTAAATGCAGGTGAGCAGCATCGAAGGCGTCTGGCTTTTGAGTTTGGTCTGACTGTACGCTTCCTTACAGTGGTAGTGGCCCTTGTTTGACTTTTCTCATTACATGAAAATTAGCAGTTTTCACAGACCATATCTCTTTGAGATAGGATCTTCTCTTTGTGAGCCCTGACGATTGGCTGCCCTCCCACCCTCCCTCCCTGTCTTCCTTTCAGTCTTCCTTCTAAATGTGTCTAGTTCCGCACAGGGGGTGAAGGGAAGAATTTGACAACCCGAGCCATCAGGACATTCTGTCGTCAGGTGTGAGGTCCTTTTGCTTTCTTCTCTTTGCTCCAGCCCTTCACCAAGTGTCTAATAGTTGATGCTTTTGCATAACCGAATTAATAGGAGAGGGGAGGGATTAGCAATGTTTGTGCTGTGAATCGGACACGGTCCCTGCCTCACTCGAAGTCTTTTCTGTTCACAGATAACGATTGGCGTATACGATCCCTGTAACTTAGTGCAGTACCCGGGATGGCCTTTGAGGAACTTTTTGGTCCTGGCAGCCCACAGATGGTATTTATGTGTGTGTGTGTATGTATATGTGTCCGTCTGCCTGCCTGTCTCTGTCAGTCTTTGACTATATGTTTTTGACCTTGTGTCTGACTCTGTCTATATTTCTGTTTTCCCAAATGGATTTTTTTTTTCATTGCTGATGTAGAAACCAGATAACAAATCAGTACATTGTCATGACCCAGTTTTCATTGGTGGTGACCCTCTAAGCAGGTCTGTTACGGAGCTTCAGATTCCAATCGTGTTGCGCTGAAGACAGCGTAGGGTAGATCAGGACCCACAGCCAGGGGATCCCCATCCTGAACTTCTCTAGCCCCCACTTCAGCTGAGTTGTGTTCAGGAAGGATTTTCTTATTGCTACCGTCCTCCCTGTTTCCTGACCCTAAACTGAATAAAACAGAGGGTAGTGCACATTTGAAAAGATGCCCAACATAGTTAGTCATCCAGGAAATAAAATATAACAAGACAGTACTCGTTAATAAAGATAACAAGATGCTGTTATGAAAGATACTACCACACACTCACCAGATAATGAGATACTCACCAAACTGAGTTTAAAGAGATGACAATATCAAGTGCTGTTGACGATGTGGATGAGTTGGAACCCTCAGACATCGCTGGGTACCTGTTTGGAAGTATCTCCCAAAGTTAGAAATTGTCTACAGCTCAGCAGTTTCCCTCTCAGGTGCGTAAAGCACAGAAATGCACCCTCAGATGCAAGCAAGACACCTATACAGGAATGGTGATAGCAGCGTTGTTCTTTATAACCTAACACTGGAAATGACCCAGATCTCCTTGAACAACGAAATGGATAATACCGTGGGGTGTATGCACTGCCGTGGAATGCAGTGTTGTAGTCAGCCTGAGTGAATTACTGGTACACTTACCAACACGGATGAGTTTAAAAAGCATAGTGGTGAGTGAAAGAGGCTGGACCTTTTAAGTTAAAACTGAAGTTCCTACTTAGAAGTTAGTGTAGGAGTCACTGTTGAAAGGGCTGTTTAAGGACTGGGGGAGCATGGGACAAGCTCCTGTGGATTTAGGATTTCGGTACTTACATCTGTGTGTGCTTTACTTAGATAACGATGTCCCCTGGGAGATAGCTAGATCATAGACCTTCCCCAGAAGGAGAGGGTTACACGTGCTTATCCTGGTGGTGAGTCTGTGTAGCCGTGGGCTTCCTCACCACGGCCCGCTCTGTAAGATCCTGTGGGAGAAGGGGGGCCGGAGGACCTCATGTTTGTCTTGGAGTTTCTTTTTAATGTCTTATGAGCTTCTTTCCCCCTGCATTCAAGATTCATTTGTCAGAATTATTTCTGTGCAATATGAAATCGTTATGTAAAACTCACCTAAAAAGAAATCAGAGCCCGTTCCACACCCAGCCTCTAGACGCTTGGACAAAGGGAGCATATGTGGATGTGCTCAGAATCTCAGAGGTGAAGGCTGTTTCCCCCAAGGGTGTCAGGGGGGTCTACTTACAGTGACTTGAATCCTCTCCAGCTGGGTTTGCCGAAGCTCTGACGTGAGCTCTCTCTTTTCCTTCCTTGAAAAAACCGAAACATAAACATCCTGGGCCGACACCAGGAGTGGCAGTTTCCAGTCCGTGGAAGTGGTCTGCTTCCGGGACCGCACCCTGCAGGGGGTGAGAGACGTCGCCCACAGCATCGTCTTCGAAGTGAAGCTTCCAGAGATGGCATTCAGCCCAGGTAATTTGCCACCTTGGAGAACGCACATTAATTACCATTTATCAGAAACCCAATCAATTCAGTTCAGTTCAGTCGCTCAGTTGTATCCATGGACTTTGTGATCCCATGGACTGCAGCCCGCCAGGCTTCCCTCTCGTCACCAACTCACAGAGCTTGTTCAAACCCATGTCCTTCGAGTCAGTGATGCCATCCAACCATCTCATCCTCTGTCATCCCCTTTTCCTCCTGCCTTCAATCTTTCCCAGCATCAGGGTCTTTTCAAATGAGTTAGCCCTTCGTATCAGGTGGCCAAAACATTGGAGCTTCAGCTTCAGCATCAGTCCTTCCAATGAATATTCAGGACTGATTTCCTTTAGGATGGACTGCTTGGATCTCCTTGCAGTCCAAGGGACTCTCAAGAGTCTTCTCCAACACCACAGCTCAAAAGCATCAATTCTTTGGCGCTCAGCTTTCTTTATGGTTCAACTCTCACATCCATATATGACTACTGAAAAAGCCATAGCTTTGACTAGATGGACCTTTTTTGGCAAAGCAATGTCTCTGCTCTTTAATATGTTGTCTAGGTTGGTCATAGCTTTTCTTCCAAGGAGCAAGCGTCCTTTAATTTCCTGGCTGCAGTCACTGTCTGCAATGATTTTGGAGCCCAAAAAACCAATAAGGCCTCGCTTTTCTTCCCTCCGCTTACAATTACAGTGGAGGTGAACCACAGCTCCTACCTCTTTGTCATTGGGAATGTGTCCCTGGAACGAAGGGCAGAGATTCCCATCTGTTGTACAGATGGGAACAAAGGCAGAGATTCTCCCCGGGAAATTCCCTCAAGGCAGTTTTTTCAGCCCTGAGGATTTTTTTCCCTTTATTTTTTGTTTTTGGTTAAAAACGAATCTTTATTCCTTACCCTTCTTACAGGAAGAATGAAGTATTAATGCACCTATGTTTTTATTTGTTACAAAATATATGTGTGATCTTATTCTCCATAAACTAGTCAGCAAAAGTGCCATTTCTCCTTCCACATTTAATGTTCTTCATCTTATCCCCACCTCATAAGTTAGGAAATGCAGGCTCACAGATATGTTTTATATGTATGTGTATATATATATATATATATATATATATATATATATATATATATATGTATACATAGAGAGAGAGAGAGAGAGAGATGTGTTTATGTATACATGGTCCTGCATTTATGTCTGTCTATCTTGAGGTACACATCACAAAGAGAGAATAACATACTCAAATTTGAGTGGAAGTAAAGGAAGTGATAGCCATCTCGTGGAGCACCCCTTAGGAGGAATCTGACTCCTGTGTAAACGATGGATGCTGTGAGGGCATACTGTAGTTGCTTCATGAATGCTAATTTATGGTAATTTCCTATCTTACCCAAAGTCCAGAACTCTTTGCAAGATGACCCCTTCAGCTTTCTTTGTATGGCAAACTCTTCAGAGTACTTTTATACACTTAGATGGTTTAATTTGCTCCTGTATTATAGCATCTGCATTGTCCCAAGGCACACTGCTTTCTTCAGTCCATGAGTCATGTGCCTTACTGTGAGTGTGTGTTTTGGGGATGAGGAATGTTAAAATCTCTGCTTGGTCAGGCAAAAGAAGAAGCTGTTTACTCTTGAGTTTGGAGCCTTAAGTTATCTTTTGTCTTTCCACTGTCTTTTCTTGTTGCTGTTTAGTCGCTCAGTCATGTCTGACTCTTTGCGACCCCATGGACTGAAGCACGCCAGGCTTCCCTGTCCTTCACCAACACCCAGAGCTTGCTCAAACTCATGTCCATCTAGTCAGCGTTGCCATTCAACCGTCTCATCTTCTGTTGCCCCCTTCGTCTCCTGCCTTTAGTCCTTCCTGGCATCAGGGTCGTTTCTAGTGCGTCGTCTTTGGATGTTTGCATTTGATTTAGCACCCTCTCCTACATACCACCTTTGGGGAGAGGCCCTTTTCTTTCCATTTTTAAGATGAAGTCACTGAATGACTCTCTGATCCCCGAGATATCATGGATACTTGGTGAAGCTGGCAAACCCAGGATACGCCATGCACTTCCACTTGAGAAAGCGATTTTCTGTAGCACAGTAGTGCCTCCAAGTCTTTACATTTGATATCAAGCGTAGATGGTTTAGTTTAAGAAAGGCAAATGTTCCTGATGCAGATTGATGTTCTCCGGCTTAGCTATAAATAAAACTTCATAATAAATAAAACTCTGTATTGTAATGTGAACTGAAGGTATTAGTACGGTAGTATGTTTTAACATTTCTGAGACATCCCATAGTTGCAGTGACAGGGTCATAAGAAATACAGTTTTGAACATCCTGTAGCTTCTGCTGCTGTCCGGGTGCAGCCAGGCTCACTGGCCTTTGCTGACCCAGAGTATTCCTGCAGCTGGCTGGGGGGGGGCGGACACGGCTCAGAGTGGGGGGCCCCTCCTTTCAGTTCCTGTCCTTGATGTGCAACTTTGGGCAACTCTCCTCGTTGTCCAACTAGGGGAGAACAGGGCCTTATTTTCCCCTCAAAGTTTTTTTTTCTCATCAGTTTGGGGTATGTCTTATGGATGTAGATTAGATGGAAGCAGGGGGCTTCCCTGGTGTCTCAGATGGTAAAGAGTCCGCCTGCAGTGCAGGAGACCTGGGTTTGATCCCTGGGTGGGGAAGATCCCCTGGAGGAGGGCATGGCAACTCACTCCAGTATTCTCGCCTGGAGAATCCTATGGACAGAAGAGCCTGGCAGGCTACAGTCCATGGGGTCACAAAGAGTCAGACACGACTGAGCACAGCACATAGTATTTTTAAAAAAATCATCAATAAGTTTAAAGTACATCTGATTTCATTAAAATGGCTGTAACATCTTGAGTACAGAGAAGTTTTAATTTGTGATGACATTTTATTTTTGTTTTATGTTCTCTTATCTGTAATAGGAGCAAGCTTAGATTGGCGTTATTAATCATAGTACTAGACTGTGTTTCTAAAGTTCCTGTCAAATTTCTGTGCCATGTGTTAAAGAAGCATTTTTTAATTTAATGTAAGAACAGCAAGGAAATCAAACAAAAATGTGAATCAGTAACAGGTTTGAACTTTTTTTTCCCCCCAGAAAAATAATTCTGGAGTTCTTCTTCTCTTTAAGATCTCAAATCTATTATTTCAGCTTTAATTTTTTTGTCATGTAAAAAAGGACCAGGCCATAGCACTTGAGCTAGAATAGGAAGGGGCATTTGTCTTCTGGCTTCCTGCTGTGCAGGATGCCCCCAGCTACTTGGCTTTGGTTTTCCACTGGTCATCCTGGCCCAGAAATAAAAAATTGTGTAAAGGAAATTAACACCCCTTAGCCCCATAATTATGTTGAGCAATATTATTTTAGGAAACAAAGGTTAAAAGCTAATAGGTCCAAGGAAAGGAAAATAGGGTGTTGATAGAAATATAAAAAGAGGAGAATTTCTAAAGAAAGCCAGTGTACAATTAGTGACAAATTCCTGCCAGTTGTCCTAAAATACCTCTGAACCTTAAATCAAGGAGCTCCTGTCTCTTCAGAGACTGTTAGTTAAAGCAGATACTGGAGGTGGTGCTGGAAGGGTAGCTGGCTGGGTGAACTCCCTGAGAAGGAGTTGAGACTGTCTTCTGAATTTGGGGGATTCAGTGAGGAAGGTAAAGTGACTGAGGTCCCTGGGTGCGGGGAGTATAAGCGTGGGGGGCCCCCTTGTGCAGGAGTTAGAAGGCCATGTTTCCACCAAGGAAGCCAGGATTCCATTGAGGTATTCCGCAGAGCACTTGCGGTTTTTTTTTTTTTTGAGAAGATTTTGCAGTAGTGGAATAGAGCAGCAGTTCCCTGAATGTGTCCCGTGGGGGTTTTAATCGGTGTTACGAGGTGAGGGAGTTACGGAGAGCCAGCCAGGACTGGGAAGCTCAAAGCCAAATCGGACGGAGTGGTTTCTTTACTGCAGGTCTCTCCGAGCTTCATCTCCACCACGTGGGAGGGACTCTCCAGGCGGGGGCGGGGCAGATGGAGACGCAGGTAGGGTCCGAAGCATTTCCCAGGCCCGTTGGCCACAGGGTCTTCATCCTCGCAGAGCTGTGCATGAGGGAGGCATTTTGAGAACAGCTGGAATTGGAGTCGCAGAGGACCCCCCACCCCAGCAGAGGTTAAAAGAGATCAGCGGAGAAGGGAAAAGTCAGGGGAGAGGAGAGTCTTAGGGGAGAGGACAGCTTAGCAGAGGAGCAGTCCCTGGATTGAGGTCTGTAGACAGGTAGACGCGCTGTGGTGGACAGGCTCACAGGGCAACTGGGTGACGTAGGATGAGGAGCGGAAGGGGCATGCTGACCTGGATGGGAAGGTATGCTGCAGCCATGCTGGGGGCGCTTCCTCAGGTGAAGACCCCTCCACAGGCTTAGACCCGCTCCAAGTATAGTCTTCTTTTTTTTTTGAGCAGCTTCCAGTAGCTGCAGCAGTTGAGGTAACTCAGGGCAGAGTCAGGGCTCTTTCAGAAGCCCCTGTGCAGGAAGACTGTGCTTGGGTCTGGGGGTCTCTAAACAAGACTCCTCGTGGCCCAGGGACACGAGGAGGCAGCCAAGGCAGGTGGATGCAAATTCAGCGGACTGAAAGCCCATCGAGGCGTGAGCCATCTTGCTGCTTGGACTCATTCTCTATCCTTCTTTCCTTCGCTGAAATCACTGTTTTATCTGTCTGCAGATTGTCCCAAGGCAGTCGGGTGGGAGAAGAACCAAAAGGGAGGCATGGGCCCGAGGATGGTGAACCTCAGCGAGTGCATGGACCCTAAAAGGTACAGCTTGGAAGCCGTTCCCGCCGGGCGTGCGCCCGGTTCTGTCCCGCCGAGCGCACCGCCCAGTTCAGGCAGAGTTGGGGGGCCTGCAGGGGGAAGGGTGATGTCAGTAAGTGTGTTCGTTCGCTCTTGGCCGCCTCCTGATTTGAGTTTGATTGTGAGAATGAATATCAGTGATGGATATCTGAAGGGCACACAGCGTCTGTTTTTCTGGACATCCTAAATGTTGTTCTGGCTTCAAGCCCACTCCCTCAGACCTGTGCACCTACTCCACCTGTTGTCCTTTATTCGCTCCCCTTCACTCGTGTTCCATTAGCCACCAGGGAAGGGCATGGTGAGAAATATTTCACAGAGACCAGTTTTGTGCTGAAGGGCTGATGTAAGTACTCCCTCTACTGAGGGGACAGAAATTTCTCTGTGTTCAGTGTTAGGAAAACGTTTCCTCTTAAGCGGCTGGTGTGGTTTTAGCCCTGGACATAATAACCCCTGTAACCAGTCAGGCTTCCCATTTCTCCTGGGCTCCTGGGAGCTCCGGATCAGACGGGGGCCCGTCACGGTGCAGTTGCTGAGGACTGTGGCGGCATGCACCACTCTGTGTGGTCACCGCTGTCCCCCTCGCTTACCCTCCAGCCTCGTCTTACTTCTCCTTTGATCCTGATTTCCTCCGTTACTTGTTTCTTATCTTCTCACACAAGCTACTTTCTTTCTAAAAAAAGACAAGATTGGGGGCCTACGCGGGTGACTGGCTGCATAAATAAATGATTCTCTCCTTTTCTAGATTAGCTGAGTCATCGGTAGATCTCAACCTCAAGCTGATGTGTTGGAGATTGGTCCCCACTCTGGACTTAGACAAGGTGGTGTCTGCCAAGTGTCTGCTGCTTGGAGCCGGCACCTTGGGTTGTAACGTAGCCCGGACGTTGATGGTGAGTTTGCAGGGGTCGAATGGCGCCTCTCAAGCTGTGCTCTCTTCTTTCACTACACAGTCTACCCTCCGGACTTGTGGGTTTCGCATCCAAGGGAGGCATTTTTGTTTTTTAAGAAAAAAAAAGAAAGGCACCCAAACCAAAAATTAACCAACTAAACAACCCCAACATCCAAGCATGCATCTCTCTTTTTTTTTTTTTTGTCTTTTTGTTGTATTTCTCCTTCCTTTTTTCCCTTTTTTCCCCCTCTGGGTTATTGCTCAGTTTTGACTGAAGTTTACGGTTAAAAAAAAAATTTGTTTTCCAGCCTGCCTTGATCTTCAAGCAGGAGTTCATTGACTCAAAAAAAAAAAATAAAAATAAAAAGAATCTCTGGCTGGTTCCAGGGGCTTATGGAACCCACCCCCCTTGGATACCAGGGACGACAGACTGCGCCTGAGTGCCTTCTTTCTCCTTGTCTCCCTCCCTCCCTCCCTCCTTTCTTTTCTCAGTATCTCTTTCAGTATAAAAGGAACACATGCTTTTGTTATAAGGTGGAAGCAAGAAATCTGCCTCCACTCCCCGCCCAAGTCACTTCCCAGAATTAAGCAGACTTCGTCGAGTGCTATGGAGCATCTTTCCCTGTAATTTTCATAGGCGTGTGCTAATACAGAGAGGCACTGGTCATCTTTGCTCTTATTTAGTTATTTATATTTGCAAAGCTTGGATCATTGCAACCTGTCTATAGCAAGTTTTTTTTTTAACTCAGTAGAGCAATAATTGTGGTTCTCTTTCTATTTATTCCATTTTATGTTTATGTAGAATTTTGTTATGTGCTGTGCTATGCTTAGTCACCCACTCATGTCTTGACTTTTTTCAACCCCATGGGCTGTAGCCCACCAGGCTCTTCTGTCCATGGAAATTCTCCAGGCAAGAATCCTGGAGTGGGTTGCCATGCCCTCCTCCAGGGGATCTTCCCCACCCAGGGATCAAACCCAGGTCTTCCGCACTGCAGGCGGATCTTCACCGTCTGAGCTGCCAGGGAAGCCCATTGTTAATATGACTTGTCTTCAGTTCATTTAATCAATTTCAACATATTTTTCTTTTAGAGATGCTGTTGAAATGAACATTCTTACACCTTTACATGTCCATGGGATTATTTCTTTAGGAAAAAAACTCTAGAAATAGAACTACTATGTTAGAGAGAATGTAAAACAGCTTTTTTGTTTGCATTTCTTTAATTACTGAGGGTTAGTCTTTAATTTGGTTTCATTTGTGAATTTTGTTTGTTCTGGTCATGTCCTTCAGGCTGTTTCTGGTATCTTGACTTGGAGTACTTTTTTTATGGATTTCTCGGTTGCTAAGTCATATCTGATTTTTGGAGACCCCGTGGACTACAGCATGCCAGGCTCCTTTTGTCCTCCACTGTGTCCTGGAGTTTGCTCAGATTCATGTCCATTGAGTCAGTGATGCTATCCAACCATCTCATCTTCTGCCAAACCCTTTTCCTTTTTTATGGATATTAACCGTTTTTCTGTAATGAAATGCAAGTATTTTTCTCCATTTATTTATCTTTAGCCATGTAAAGGTTTTTAAAAATTTAATGTTATTGAATACATTAATCTTTTCCTTTATGGTTTATAGAACTCTTATTTTTATGTTTAGATCTTTATTAATGTGGAATTTATTTTTTGTTTTATGAAATTTAACAATAAAATTTTTTAATAGTCATTTATTTTAATGTCATTCATTCACTAATACAAATCTCATTTTTACACCTTTATTAAACTCTAAATTCCTTTATATCTGAGTCTCTTTTTGGAGTCTATTTTTAGTCCACCATTCTCTTTGTTCATTCCTGCATTATTACTCATAGCTTTCACTCAAAATTGCAATGAATTTATAGATAAATTGGAAGAGATTAACATCTTTACAATATTGATCCTTAGTTTCAGAAGCATTGTATATCTCTTAAATTATTTAACTCATCGTTGTAGCATGTTATTTATTTAGGTTTCCCACATGCCTCGTTTAGTTAGTTTTCACATATTTAACTTCTTTTTCTTTTAAAGATAAATTTTCTAGTTGACTCTTACTGGGATGAATATATAAGAAAGATAGTGAGTTTTGAATGTTTATCTTCTATCTAGTCATCTTTCTAAACTTTCTTGGCTATGACAGTTTTTTGTTTGATTCTTTTGAATTATCTAGGTTGATAAGTGCTCCTCACCAACATCTATATTGGTTCTTTTCCTTGTCTTATAGGACTGACTAGGACTCTATAGCAATGGTGAGGAACAGTGATGAGAGTTAGCACCCTCGTTTGGTTACTGATTTCAGTGAGAAACTTCTTGTTTTTTCCTTTAGTTTTGATACGTGATATTGGTTTCTGCTAATATTCTTCTGTAAGTTAAGGAGACAGATTTTTCTTTCTAGTTTGCTGTGAGTTTATATCAGAAATGATTGTTGAGCTTTATCATCAAATACATCTTTCAAGATAATCTAAGTATTCTAATGCTGAGCATTCCTGGGAAAAACTCTTATTTGTTCATAGTTTGTTATTCTTCTAATATACAGTGGAGTTCAGCTGGTAATGTTTTACTGCTAAGTTTTCCATATGTATTAATAAGTCAGATTGGTTTATAGTAATGTTTTTCTTTTCCTTTCTGGTGTCATTGTTTATCTTATAGCTGAATCACACTACTTTTATAAAATAAAACTTTCTGCCTTTTTCTATGCTGCAGGACAGGTTTAGTGTATGAAGTATCATTCTTTGATGGTTTGGTAAAATTCAGTTATAAATCCATCTCAGCGTGATGCCTTTGGAATTTTGTTAGTGATGAGAGCAGGGAATCTGTGGGAACTTTTAGAAATGTTTCTACGGTCATTGACCTTTTAGATTTTATACCTCTTTTGAGTCAGTTTAGTCATGTTGTTTTCCTAGAAAATCATCCATTTCATCTCAATTTGAAAATTAATTGATATAAAGTACATATAGTATTCTTTTGCCATCTTTTCCATGTTTTCTTTATCTTATTTATTATCTATTTATTTACGTTTGGCTGTGCTGCACATATGTGTGGGATATTAGTTCCCTGACCAGGGACTGAGTGGGATCCCTGTAGTGGAAGCTCAGAGTCTTAAGTACTGACCCCCAGGGAAGTTCCTATCTTCTCTTTAGTAGTAGTAGTGTTAGTTGCTCAGTCTTGTCCAACTCTTTGTGACCCCGTGGGCTGTAGCCAGTCACGATCCTCTGTTCAAGGGATTCTCAGGCAAGAATACTGGGGTGGGTTGCCATTCCCTTCTCTAGGGGATCTTCCCAGCCCAGGGATCGAGCCCAGGTCTCCTGTATTGCAGGCAGATTCTTTGCCAGCTGAGCTGTATTCCTCATGTTGAATATTTTTGTTTTCTCTTTTTCCTGTTATTCAGACTTTTCAGATAGGCTTGTCTTTCCAGAAAACTAAATCCTTGGTCTCTTTTTTTCTGTAATTTTTGTTTTGGTTTGTTTCCAGATTCACTCCTATCTACTTTTTATTAATTTCTTCATCTTTTTATAGGAATTTATTTCATTCTTTCCCTAACTTCCAGAATTAGGTACATAGGTTTTCCCAGCACTTTTTAAATTATGAAGTCAGTATAGATCTAGATCCATTATAGGAAATTTCTACAGTGTAAGCGTTAGGAGGCAGAAAAAGAAGACCCATTTTTCTACTACTTTATCACTTGTTTCCTTTCAGTGTTTAACATATATTTAAATTTTTTATTTGATATGTAAAAATGTCCCTTGTTTTTATCAGTTAACACAAAACACTTCCTAATATTGTTAAAAAGAATACCTAAAAATCTTTTTTAATGGCTGTAGAATCAGTTCAGCTCAGTTTCTCAGTCGTGTCCAACTCTTTGTGGTCCCATGGACCACAGCACGCCAGGCCTCCCTGTCCATCATCGACTCCGAGAGCTTGTTCAAACTCATGTCTATCGAGTCAGTGATGCCACCCAACCATCTCATCTTCTGTCATCCCCTTCTTCTCCTGTCTTCCATCTTTCCCAGCATCAGGATCTTTTCAGATCAGTTGACTCTTTGTATCAGGTGGCCAAAGTATTCGAGTTTCAGCTTCAGCATCATCCCTTCTAATGAATATTCAGGACTGATTTCCTTTAGGATATTGGCTGGTTGGATCTCCATGCAGTCCAAGGGACTCTCAAGAGTCTTCTCCAACACCACAGTTCAAAAGCATCAGTTCTTCAGTGTTCAGCGTTTTTTATGGTCCAACTCTCACATCCATACACGATTACTAGACAAACTATAGCTTTGACTAGACGGACCTTTGTCGGCCAAGTAATGTTTCTGCTTTTTTAATATGCTGTCTAGTTTGGTCATAACTCTTCTTCCAAGGAGCAAGCGTCTTTTAATTTCATGGCTGCAGTCACCATCTGCAGTGATTTTGGAGCCCCCCAAAATAAAGTCTGTCACTACTTTCATTGTTTCCACATCTATTTGCCATGGAGTGATGGGACTGGATGCCATGATCTTTGTTTTTGAACGTTGAGTTTTAAGCCAACTTTTTCACTCTCCTCTTTCACTTTCATCGAGAGGTTCTTTAGTTCCTCTTCACTTTCTGCCATAAGGATGGTGTCATCTGCATATCTGAGGGTTATTGATATTTCTCCTGGCAATCTTGATTCCAGCATGTGCTTCATCCAGCTTGGCATTTCGCATGATCTACTCTGCACAGAAGTTGAATAATCAGGGTGACAGTATACAGCCTTGACATACTCCCTTCCCAATTTGGAACCAGTCTATTGTTCCATGTCCAGTTCTAACTGTTGCTTCTTGACCTGCATACAGATTTCTCAGGAGGCAGATAAGGTGGTTTGGTATTCCCATCTCTTTAAGAATTTTCCATAGTTTGTTGTGATTCACACAGTCAAAAGCTTTGGTGTAGTCAGTAAAGCATAAGTAGATGTTTCTCTGGAACTCTCTTGCTTTTCTATGATTCATTAGATGTTGGCAACAAGAAGTTGGCTGTAGAATATGCCTTCTTATATGATGAAACATGATTTACTGAGACATTCTTCTATTTTTAGGCATTAACATTGCTTTCAATCTTTTACAACTATAAATTATTTTATAGAGAACATCTTGATGATTTCATTTTTGTCAATATTTTGAATTATTTCCTAAGATAGATTGCTGGAAATAGGTTGATATGATTGATATGAGCATGTAGAAAATTCTAGAATCATATTGCCAGATTGCTTTCCAGAAGAGTGATACCAGTTTACATTCTCAGTCAGTGAAATCTCAATGAAATAAAATACCAGTATTACATTCTCAATCGTTAAAACCCCATCCTCACTAGCACTGAGTATTGTAATTTTCCTTAATCTTTGCCAATTAGCCATTACACTGTATGTGCTTAGTCTGCTGAAGAAGGGACAGGCTACCCACTCCAGTAGTCTTGGGCTTCCCTGGTGGCTCAGCTGGTAAAGAATCCACCTGCAATGCGGGAGACCTGGGTTCAATCCCTGGGTTGGGAAGATCCCCTAGAGAAGGGAAAGGCTACCCACTTCAGTATTCTGGCCTGGTGAATTCCATGGACAGTATAGTGCGTGGGGTCACAAGGAGTTGGACAGGACTGAGTGAGTTTCACTTCACTTCTTATTCTATATGTGCTTAGTCTCTCAGCCCAGCTCTCTGTGACCCCATGGACTGTAGCCCGCCAGGCGCCTCTGTCCATGGGGATTCTCCAGGCAAGAGTACTGGAGTGAGTTGCCGTCCCTCCTCCAGGGGATCTTCCCAACCCAGGGATTGAACCAGGGTCTCCTGCATTGCAGGTGGATTCTTTGCCAGCTGATCTACCAGGGAAGGCCCATTAAACTGTATAGCATTCCAAGAAACCAAAAGTTAAGTGTGCAAGTCCACGTGCCTGTGACTCACCTGCAGCATGCTTGTAATTTATGTAGCTTTCTTCTACTGTAGCAGTTTCCAGACTGCCTTCCTTGCTGTCCACTCAGCACTGCTCTAAGGAATGCAACAATGCTCCCGAAATAAACATCCCCTAGCCAAGCACAAATGACCTTTGGATTTTCCACAGTCTTTTTTCCCCCTACATGGTGGTTTGCTCAGCTGGTAAAAGTCACTTATGAAACAGGGTGAGTAGACTAGAGTTACCTGTGGGCTTCAAAACACACAGCCAGTCTAAACTATGCTTTCGAAAGGATGAATTCTGGCCTGTCATCTTCAACCCCAACAGCGAATCTTGGATTGTGTTGACTTTGCCCTGCAATTGTCAGACTAACTGAATTTCAGTGTCCCTGATGGAGGGAACAACAGATTGGTTCCAAATTGGGAAAGGAGTACATCAAGGCTATATATTGTCATCCTGCTCATTTAACTTAAAATAAGTTGCAGAGTACATCATGTGAAATGCCAAGCTAGATGAAGCACAAGCTGGAATCAAGATTGCCGGGAGACATATCAATAACCTCAGATATGCAGATGACACCACCCTATGGCAGAAACCGAAGAAGAACTAAAGAACCTCTTGAAAAAAGTGAAAGAGGACAGTGAAAAAGTTGGCTTAAAACTCAACATTCAAAAAATGAAGATCATGGCATTCAGTCCCATCACTTTGTGGCAAATAGATGGGGAAACAATGGAAGTAGTGACAGACTTTATTATTTTGGGCTCCAGAATTACTGCAGATGGTGACTTTAGCCATGAAATTTAAAGACACTTGCTCCTTGGAAGAAAAGTTATGACCAACCTAGACAGCATATTAAAAAGCAGAGACATTCCTTTGCCAACAAAGGTCCATCTAGTCAAAGCTGTGGTTTTTCCAGCAGTCATGTATCTTGTTCCAAAGATGTGAGAGCTGGACCATAAAGGAAGCTGAACACCAAAGAATTGATGCTTTTGAACTGTGGTGTTGGAGAAGACTCTTGAGAGTCCCTTGGACAGCAAGGAGATCAAACGAGTCAATCCTAAAGGAAATCAGTCCTGAATATTCATTGGAAAGACTGATGCTGAAACTGAAACTCCAGTATTTTGGCCACCTGATGTGAAGAGCTGACTCACTGGAAAAGACCCTGATGCTGGGAAAGACTGAAGGCAGGAGGAGAAGGGGATGACAGAGGATGAGATGGTTGGATGGCATCACCGACTCTATGGAAATAAGTTTGAGCAAGCTCCAAGAATTGATGAGGGACAGGGAAGCCTGGTGTGCTGCAGTCCATGGGGTCGCAAAGAGTCAGACACCACTGAGCAATTGAACTGACTGAACCGATGGAAGGATAATGAAGTAAGACAGAGATTAGACTCTTAGTCAGACTCTGCAGTCAGTCCTAGCAGGGCTTCTCTTAGGCCGCTGTTTCTGATTTGCTGACATACACATATCCCACCTCACCCCCCCAGAAAGGAAGCATCTTCTTTCCTGCACCCTGGGCATCTCATTTCCTCCTCACCATTAACCAGATTTATGACCCACGGTGAGTCACGTATCTTTTCTGGGCTTCGGTTTCTGTACCTGTAAAATAAAGTAATGGAGCTAAAGATTTTTGGGAGCCTATCTGACTTTAAAATTGTTCAGTTCTGAGATTCAATTGAGATGTATGAAGTCATGAAAGCTATTTCTGAGAATGTAGAGCTGTCCCCTACATTCCAGAATATTCATAAGGGCTTTGCCTCATTGAGAAATAGTACAAAATCTTCTGTGGTGTTATACAATTGGAAATAACTTATAAGTCACTTTTATTAATACATGGAGCTATTTTAGGCTTTGAGTGAATTTTAGGATGAGCTGTTACATATGCTCACTTACTCATTCAGGGAAAGCGAGGTCACTGGGCGGCCCTTGACAGTCCTCTGAAGACAGCAGCAGGGACTCACCTTCCTAAGCTTCCTCTGGTGCCACTGTCAAAAATAGTGAAGTATTAGTCAGACCAGCAGTGACATATTTCTTAGTCTCATTGCTGTAGGAAGCGAGGCACCGGGTGTATAATTATTTCGTCTTTTAAAGGAAGTTGACATTCTATCTGTCAAAAATGGACTCTGCACAATTCAATTTCCAGCGTTTCCTGTATTTCAGTGTTCCTAAGCTGCCCCAAAGCCAAACCCCTTTTAGAGATTTGCAGAGAGACACCCTGTGCAATGTCCATCAGAAACCCACCACGATCTCCGGTTTTTCCGTGCAGGGCTGGGGCGTCAGACGCATCACGTTCGTGGACAATGCGAAGATCTCCTACTCTAACCCCGTGAGGCAGCCTCTGTATGAATTTGAAGATTGCCTGGCGGGTGGGAAGCCCAAGGCCCTGGCGGCAGCAGACCGGCTACAGAAGATCTTCCCCGGAGTGGTACGTTGGTGCTGGGTGCTGAGAACATCAGGGCTTTTTGCCAGGGCCTGTCCGTGTTTAAGTGTTAATCACATAGGAATCAGGCCCTACGGGATGGAGGGAACAGAGTCGACATCGGTCACTTACTGCCAGGGCCTCATTGTGTGTTTCTTTAGGAACCTCTGTTTCCTCATCTCAGAAGTGGGGATTACAAGAACAAAATAAAACCCTCATATATTATTGTGAAACCAACATGGAGGCTATATGACAGAGTGTTTCATAAGTTACAAAGCATGAAATTGAGGGATTTGGGGGTCCGCATGGTGTTAGATACTGCCTTGTTCCAAAGGGATCTATCCACTTTGGATATTGGATCCACTGTAGGAGATGATCCCCCTTATGGCCAGGATGCCTGATGGTTAGCACAGGTTTATGGAACTAGATACAGTATGCACAAGAAAGATCTGGCGAGATGCTCAGCCTTTCACTCTAGCGGCTGCTTGTTCTTGACGTCTGTCACTTACTCTGAAAACAGTGAGAGGCAAGTCGTTCAGCTCATTTGGTTAAACATCTGGCCATGTTTTTGAGGTTATCCAGCAGAACAGATTCTGCATCTTGCATGCTTCGTTGATTTGTGTGACAGAGGTTAGCTCAGGTGTCCCCAAAGCATCTGCTTCTACTGAAAGTGCCACAAGAGGCTCTCAGCGCTGGCTTAAAAATAGAAGAAAAACAAAAAAAAGCCTGCTTTCTTAAGATTTCTCTGTTAGTCACTGAGCATCAGATTCATTCATTTTCAGCCTTTGCTTTAAAAGCGACTTTGACCTTTTTGTCCGTTTCACCAGAAGCATGTCATCTCTTGGGTTTAATTCAGTGGGACTGACTGAGCCCTCTGTACCCAGCTAAGTGCTGGATGACAAGAGGGAGGAACACCCCGTCGCTGAGGAGACGTCTTAGTTACGTTTCTGCTGTGACGGCGTTACACGTCACACACTCCCAGCATCCAGGTGGCTTACAGTCATGAGCCCTGATGTCATGTCCGCAGATCTGCGGGTCGTCGTGGCTTAGTGGCTGGGCTGGGCTCTGGCTTTGAGTCCTGTTCCAGTCTGCCCTGTATGTCGTAATTCCAGAGTCTAGGCTCCAGGAGCAATGGTCAGCTGGTCCTGCTCTCGTTACGATAGAAGGTGGAAGTGTAAAGGAGTTGGTCAGCCTACCAGCACTCCCTGTGTCTCTTAAAGTCTCAGCACTGTCCTCTATTGCCATCACCAGAGCAGGTCACAGGGCCAGGCCCCAAGTCAGTGGGGTTGGTCCGGATACCCTGCCTACCTGGTGGGAGGTCCTGCAAAGCCACGTGGCTAAGGGCGTGGACACATAATTCTATTAGAGGTGGGCAGTGCATAGTCAGGAAGATTAATCCATTCTATCACCGGAGACAGCCCTGGCTTTGAATCTGAGCTCTGCCTGAGATTTTTGCTCACTCAAATCCTAGCCATGGTCTGTGACCCAATGCAGTTCCCCCTATTTTATTTGTTCAGTTATCCTATGACTTACTCATTCATCATACGTTTATTTAAGGCCTGCTATGTGCTAGGGGCTGGGGAACAAGGCAGACGAACTTCCCTCTTCCTCGCCTGGAGCTGAGAGTCTAATGGGGGATGTGGTCAAGAAACTCATTTCATGAATGGATACACTTGTAATAAGTGCATGAAGCGGGAGCTCAGTGGCTGTGGGAATGTTTAGCAGGTACACCTGACCTAGAACAGACTTCCTTGAGGAAGCTAAGCCCTGAAATGCGGGTGAGAGTTAGCTAGACCAGGGCGGACAGAGTGGCCTGTGCAGACGCCTGAAGTAGGACACAGCCTGTGCCTCTGTGGACAGAAAGGAAGTCGGGCTGGCTGCGGCACGGGGTCAAGAAAGACAGACTTGGAGCTAGGGCCTCAGCAAGGGCCAGGTCATGCTGGGCCTTAGAGTTCAGGTTCCCCTTCTTGAAAGCATCAGCCCCCCAGGACCAAGCCTGTTCCCCAGCACCTACGTCATGCTGCTGCATTTTCCCTATTGGATTATGCAGTCCTTACTGTGGGGAGCCCGGTCTCGTATCCCTTATCCCTCATGCCTTATAAGGAGTAACGGGTAACACGGGCTTCCCTGGTGGCCCAGTGGTGAAGAAGCCGCCTGCCAAAGCAAGGGGCACGGGTTTGACCCCTGGTCCAGGAAGATCTGACATGCCGCAAAGCAGCTGAGCCCCTGCATGTGACTGCTGAGCCCACGAGCCCTGGCGCCTGTGCTGTCGGGAGAGAGCCCGCACCCAAAACGAGGAGTAGCCCCTTTTTGCTGCAACCAGGGAACAGCCTGCGCAGCAGCAGGGACCCAGCACAGCCAAAAATAATTAATTAATTAAATCTAAAAGATAATAGCACTGAACCCACCCAAGTTCTAGTGCAACGCATCAAATGTGTGGAAAGAACTTGTGAAGCCATTTCACTTATTGGCTCGCCAGGCTTACATGATTCTCTTCGTACGTTCAATTTAGTATAGTTTTTCATTCAACAGATACTGCCTCATCACCTTCCTTACACCAGGCCCTGGACAGGAGGCTAGTCTAAGTGAAGAAGACATGAAAAGATGTGAAAAGAACTCAGCCACAAATAATATGTGTAATCCTAGGGTGGAATTCATTGAATAGGGAAACAAATGACCTTGAATCAATCAAGGAACCACTTGAGGTCACCATTTCCCCCGCAAAGGTGAGGCAATAAAATGTAGGGTTGTAGAGCCACAGTGAGGGTTTTAAAACCCCTCTCTGGACATCTGTTTCCGACCCTGATGAGTGACTGACGGACTGGCTGTCCTGCCATGATGCATCTACTGGTTCTGCACCTGAGTAGACTGTGTAAACTGACTTGGCCGACGCTGACCAGCAGGCAGTGAGAGACTGTGGGCTCAGAAAGAAGTGTTTGTCCCAATTTATTGCGCGGAGGCACTTTTCAGCCCTTGTCAGGGCCCACAGGGAGCCCAAGGAGGTGTTGTTGGTCTTGATGAGCTGAGGAAACAGAGATGAGAATTCAGAGCAGCCAGGCAGCTGAAACTTTAGGGCAGAGTATCAGACCTGTGCGAGCCGTGCAGGGGAGGAGTTCCAGAAGAGGGTCTGGGCAGCAGCACCTTGAGGCTTTGCACGTTCTCCGGGCAGGACTCCGTAATCTGGGCAGGAAGCACCGTGAGTCTGCCGTGGGCAGAGCCCCGGAGTCCCAGCCATCCAGAAGGGAGAGACCTCGCTGGGCCTTAGGTGACACCCCGGCGAGGCTACGAACTCAGCGTAGGAGCTGGAACTAGAGCGCTTCTACAGGAGAGCAGCCTGGTGACCCTGCGATGGCAGAGCTTCCTCGGACCATGGAGATACTGATCATGAGTGAGAACATGGATGAACAGGACTTCATCGAAATTTTAAGTTTCTGCTTCTCGAAAGACGTTGATAAGAGAACACAAAGGCTGACCCAAACTAAAACTACTCACAGTACACGTATTTGGCAAACAACCTATATCCAAGATACATGAACAACTCCTGCTACCCAATAATAAGACAGGCAAACCTTTTTTTTTTGCAAGGGACTGAAGAGTTGGGCCAGCACGGCTTCCTAGGGAAAGTGTTTGCGTGGCCAGTGAGCACACGTCATGCTCAACACCATCAGTAGTCATCATGGGATGTGAGTCAGGCCCATGAAGACATATCCCTGCACACGCACTGAAATGACTATAATTAGAAGACTGATAATGCTAAATGGTGGGAGGGTGAGGGGCATCCACAGCTCTCACACTCTGGGGGTAGAGGTCCTGGGGATTGACTACAAAAGGGTAGAAGAGCGTTGCCTGGGATAACAGTCGATGCCCCGAGGGGCGTGTGCAGTGGTTAATCCGCAGCTTGTCAAAACACATCAAACTGGACACTCGAGGTCCGTCTGTGTACCTCACTTGCTGTAAATTATCGCTCACCCCAGCTGCACGTTTGAGTCACCTGGAGAGTTTTAGAACATATCCATCTCTGGGCCCACTCTCAGAGACTCCAGTTGAAATGATCTGGGGAAAAGCCTGGGCATTAGGGATTTAAGCAACTCTGTAGGTGGTTCTGATGTACAGCCAAGGCTGAAAACTACTGTGCTGGCAGCTTACTGAATTCCAGCCTCAGGCTTGTGGGCCTCAGTGGCGGGCCGGGAGCCAGTGCTCCTCCGTAGACTCAATGGCTGGGGCTTTAGCAAGCAGAGATTCATTCAGGTTAGCCAAGTAGATGGGGGTGAGGGTCTGAATTATTCAGAAGGTCAGAGTTGGGGTTGAGTAGTTACGCTTTAATCTTGGTGTCGTTAAAGTTCCCAGGCAATAACTTTGTGGATTGAGCAACCATCGCTTAAAACACGTTGTCTATTGTAAATACGACAGTAAGGTAATTGTTGTTGTTGTTAACGGTGGTTGTTGCTTTTCTTACTGTTCGTTACAGTGGTAGGTATGCAGCAGATACACTGTACTTAATGAATGAATGAATGAGTGAATTATGAGGTCCTGAGAGGTATCTTTATGGTGTCCTCGTTAAAATGGACTTGTTTTGAACCTTCCTTCTTACTGAAGTCCTTTCTGCCTGGCATCTTTTGCTGCAACCTCTTTGTCCCCCCTGCTCAATTCTTTTTGAAATTTTTGCTGTTATTACTACTGTGCCTTTCTTGAATTCCAGATATTAGGTTTGATGAAGAAAATAGCATCCACTTGCAAAATAGGTTTTACTTTGTAAAGGGACCTACTGCTGTGTCCCTGAGCTGTTTTTGCAGGATGTGAGGGGTTTTGACGAATAAAAAAGCTGGTGTTTTCACACGCTTCCCTGTGGCAGGTGCTATGCAGGGGATTGGGTGTGCAGTTTGTGATTCTAGAACACTTTCTTTTCTGGGAGAAGTCCATGTCCCTGGCTTCACTGGCACGCATGTGTGACTCACAGTTCATCTGCCAACACATTGTGGAGCCAGCAGGGGACCAGAGCTCTTCTAAAGGCCCCATCATAAGTCTTGAGTCCTGAGAACCCAGGTTACTCTACCAGCCCCTCTACCCCTCAGACTAGTATCTTCACGTTCCTAAGTCTAGTTTTCTGGTCAGTGAGCAAGGAGAGGCTTTCAGTTTTGAGGGTTTTGTTTGTTTTTAATGCATATGGCCCCTGAGAAAATTATGGCAAGACTCTCAGCCATCCTAATCTTAGGTGAATTTGTTAAATTATTTCTGATTGTGACACCCCTTTTGGAAGTGTTCCATACTAAGAAAGCGGAGTGGAGGGCAGTCTGGGGACAAGCGGAGAGACAGTCCAGCTGGACTGAGGGCCTTGGGGAAGCCGAGGGCATTGTGATGACATGCCTTGGCCCCAGGTTGTAGGAAAGAGCCAGTTCTGTCCAGTGTCTGCTTTGTCCACAAGGGCAGTGCCTCCCCCCACCCCTGCCACTTTGGAGCTAGATCTGTGTGTCTCTGCTGCCCTGTCCAGCCTTAGGGACCTGAGATGCCAGGACAGGTGGTCTTGGGTCGCAGAGGTGGAGGAGGCTGGGAGCTCAGCTGGCAGAAGGCTGAGGCAGCGTGGTCGTGATGGGGAGATGTCAGGTTGTTAGTGGCCCTGCGTGCTCAAGGTGACGGGGAGATGCAGGCTCTGGAATCCCACCCGTCCCTTTGCCTCAGAAGCCCCCCCCCGGGTGTGTCCCCAGAACGCCAGAGGGTTCAACATGAGCATCCCCATGCCGGGGCACCCCGTGAACTTCTCCAGCGTCACCCTGGAGCAGGCCCGCAGGGACGTGGACCAGCTGGAGCAGCTCATCGACGACCACGACGTCGTCTTCCTGTTGATGGACACCCGGGAGAGCCGGTGGCTGCCTGCCGTCATCGCCGCGAGCAAGAGAAAGGTAGGGCGTGGGCCCCATCTCCCAGGGCGGAGTGCCCCCCATTCTGCCCCCACCTCTGGAGCGGAAGGGTGTTTGTGTGGCCTGCTGACCCGAGGCCAAGGGCTTCCTCCGCAGACCGTGTGCCTCACGCACCATCATGTAGCCCAGATGTTACCCTGTGAGCCCTGTGCACTTGCGGGGCCACTCTGCTTACAGTGGAATGTGAGCTCCCAGAGGATGCAGACTCTGGCTCATTCACCAAGGTCGGGCCAGTGACAACTTGAAGGGCCAAAAGAATGAATGGTTCAGTAAGTCAGGGTGCATACACGTGATAGAATAGTATGTAACCACTCACAGTTATGCTGTCAAAGAATTTTAATATAATGGAAAATACTACATAGTTAAATAAGTGTGTGTGTGTGTGTATATATATATATCTTACGTCAGTTATGTTTATGCATATGAAGATATCCATGTCTGTTTATCAAAGAATGGGGGTGGCAAGAGAAAGGGAGAAAGAGAGGAGGGGGATGGGTGAGAGAAAATAAAAATACCTCGGACTATTATTGTAATTGCTGGGGCTCTGAGATTCTGAGTAATTTTTGTCGTCTTTTCTGGTGTGGTTTTCTTTGATTTTTTCAGTGTTCTATGTAAACAGAAATTTGGGAGAATAAGGCAATTTATGACTAACAAGTTATTATAGTATTAAATGAAAAGAAGCTTTCCTTGAAAACCTGTGTGAAGGGTGAATTATATAACATGAAAAAAATCTATGAAATTTATGAAAAAAAATCTCTGTAGAAATGACAGATGACAGCATAATGCTGCAAAGAATGGCTTTGAGAACTCTGGAGACTTAATTTTATATACCTTCCTATCAGCTAAGCGACCTTGGGCAAGTTGTAGAAATAACCTTTCTGACTTTCAGCGTCTTCTTCTATAAGTAAGAACTGTTCGCTGGGAGTTTTAAATGAAACCAAGAGAGACAATTTATGTTGACCACCTTGTCAAGTCTTCTGCGCTTAGTAAGCCCTCAGTCTTCGGTAGCTGCTACCAACGTTGTTGTTGTTGCGTTGCTAAGCTGTGTCTAACTCTTTGTGACCGCATGGACTGCATGATGCCAGGCTTCCCTGTCTATCGCTGCCTCCCAGAGTTTGCTCAAATTCATGTCCACTTGTTATCCAACCGTCTCATCCCCTGTCGTCCCCTTCTCCTCCTGCCTTCAATCTTCCCCAGCATCAGGGTCTTTTCTGATGAGTCGGCTCTTTGCATCAGGTGGCCAAAGTATTGGAGCTTCAGCATCAGCCCTTCCAATGAATATTCAGGGTTGAACACCAACATTAGCTTATAAAATCTAATTTTACAATCGAACAGAAACACTACGAAACAGGTTTTTTAAGTTGACCCAATATGCAGTTAGCCATGGCCTAAAATGTAAGCATCTCTTACCTCTGGTCTTTTATTCCTTGGAACTTACAGCTGGTCATCAACGCTGCCTTGGGATTTGACACCTTCGTTGTCATGAGACACGGCCTGAAGAAGCCCAGGCATCAGGGAGCCGGGGACTTGTGTCCCAGCTACCCCGTGGCATCTGCCGACCTCCTGGGCTCATCGCTGTTTGCCAACATCCCTGGCTACAAACTTGGCTGCTACTTCTGCAATGATGTGGTGGCCCCAGGGGATGTAAGTGGATTTCTTTGTTGTTGCAAGTATCTCCTACAGCCGCCTTGCCCACTAGGGCAAAGAGACCCAGCCCCTTCCTTTAAGACTGTTTAAAATACTGTCTTTTAACAAAGAGAAAAATCCTCTTATTTGGGGAGGTGGCATTATCCCTCGTGAGCCTTGCTTGGCATCATAGACTGTATAGCTGTGCCCTGCTCACCAGTGTCTCCGGGGCACTCAAGGGTTTTTAGAGTATTACCTCATTTAGTTACCTAACAGGTATATTTTGTTTTTCTTGGTACTCGCAAGACATGGTATCATGTGAGGCCAACTGATCTCTGCCAACAGTGAGTGTCTGGCTGTGTCATAGAGCTTTATCATGGAGGAGTTGCATGCCCCTGACAACTTGCCTTGGGTGGAAAAGAACTTTGCGTTCACGTCCATGACTGTTTATCCATAGTCAACCAGAGACCGGACCTTGGACCAGCAGTGCACTGTGAGTCGTCCGGGATTAGCCATGATCGCAGGAGCCCTGGCGGTGGAGTTGATGGTTTCCGTTTTGCAGCATCCAGAAGGGTGAGTTTCCCGTTTAGAGATGTCTGTTGAGACAAAGACAGCTTCTGTATCTCCCTTGACCTTTTCTCAATCTGACTTTTTTCTGAGAATTGTGTTGTTCTTTCCACTCTCAAAAGAACAAGATTTTTAAAAAAACAACCTGGTTTGATCCTTTGGGCTGATAAACTTGTCATGTGATGTTTGGAGCTGTGTCTCTGCGTCCTTGTAGAACTGAACTCTCCTAGGGTTATTTGGTAATGGATGATAAGGAAGGATAAAAATTTTCATAGGGCTTTAGGACCTTCCTGCTTTCATTCTGTTAATATATTATTTTTGATCTTCTTGGCTCTAAGCATTTGAAGGCAGTACATGAATCACATATGATAGGACTTGGATTTGGCTATATGTAACAGATCCATCTTCAGTGACTTAGTCAGACGGGCAAGGTTTTATTTTTCTCATGCAGCAAGAAGCTCAGAGGCAGGCCCCCAGACAGGGGTGCCCATGTACCGTCAGACACTGTGTTTCTTCCTCACTCACCCAGCCACTCTTGGCTTTCTTCCTTAGGTTTGTCCTGTTGTGGTCACAGGATGAGTGTTCTGCCTTCAGGGTTGCTTCTGTGTTACAGTTAAGAAGAAAGGAATGACCAAAGGATGCAAGTTATGCTCGGCTGAGGCTGCCCCCCACCACCCTGCTTTTTTTGGCCATGTTCTCCAGCATGTGGGATCTTAGTTCCTAACCAGGAATTGAACCTGTGCCTCCTGCAATGGAAGCATGGAGTCTTAACCACTGGACCTCCAGGGAAGTCCCCGAGGCTGACCCCCTTTAAATGGCTCTCCAGGAAGACTTATGCATTGATTCTAAAACTTGTATATAACTTGACCTTGCCCTTATAACTGCAAGGAAGATGGACAAATGTAGTTCTTTGGCTGGGCACATTGCCTCTGAATGAAACTATGATGAGATGGGAAAGGAGAATGGACGTTGGGCAGGTACCCAGCAGTGTCTACACACTCATTAAAAAAAATTCTGTATATATTTAAACCCTAGAAGATATTGTTATTGTTACATAGTTGGATTCATTTAATTTTGTTATTATTTTCCATTTTTTGACTTTGCTTTCTATGTCCTTGAGCTTCTATCGTAGGTCATTTTCCTTCTGCTGAAAGAACACCCTTTATCATTTCTTTTAGAAATGCCAGTGGTGAAGATCTTTTAGTTTTTGTTTGTCTAAAAAATGCCTTTGTTTTATCTTTGTGCTGAAAAATATTTTTGCCATGTACAGAATTCTAGACTGGTTCAGTTCAGTTCAGTCGCTCAGTCTTGTCCGACTTTTTGTGACCCCATGGACTGCAGCACACCAGGCCTCCCTGTCCATCACCAACTCCCAGAGTTCACCCAAACTCATATCCATTGAGTCAGTGATGCCATCCAACCAGCTCATCCTCTGTCATCCCCTTCTCTTCCTGCCTTCAGTCTTTCCCAGCATCGGGGTTTTTTCCAGTGAGTCAGTTCTTCACGTCAGGTGGCCAAAGTATTGGAGTTTCAGCTTCAGCATCAGTTCTTCCAATGAACACTCAGGACTGATCTCCTTTAGGATGGACTGGCTGAATCTCCTCGCAGTCCAAGGGACTCTCAAGAGTCTTCTCCAACACCACAGTTCAAAAGCGTCAGTTCTTCAGTGCTCAGCTTTATAAACCAACTCTCACATCCGTACATGACCACTGGAAAAACCATAGCCTTGACTAGATGGACCTTTGTTGGCAAAGTAATGTCTCTGCTTTTAATATACTGTCTAGGTCGGTCACAACTTGTCTTTTAGCATGTTGGGAACATAGTCCTCTTGTCTCTGGCTGCCATTATCCTTGTTGAGGAGCCAGGTGTTTATCTCATCGCTGCTCCTTTGGTACAGTTGGGTTTTCTCCCCCTTCCCCTGCCCTCAGTTGCTCTTAAGATTTTCTCAGTATTTCATTGGAAATATTTACTTAATTATGTACTTATTATTATATACTTATTTCTGTGTTGATTCTGATTGTGCTTTCTAGTTCCTCTTGAATCCATGGCTTGATGTTTTTCAGCCATGGTGGAAAATTTTCTTCCATTGTCTCCTAAAGCATTGCTTCTGCCTCTTTTTTGATTCTTTCCTTTTGAGTCCCCAGCTGCATGTTAGAATCCAATGATGCTCTTTTCTGTGTTTTCCATCGTTATGTCTTTCCTTGCTTCAGTCTGGCTGTTTGCTTTTTGGCTTATCTTCCAGTTTACTGATTCTCTCTTCTTCTCTCTTCTACGTCTATTTGTTAGACTATCCACTGAGTTTTAAATTTCATTATTATATGTTTCAGTTCTAGAATTTCTAAGAATAATTTGATCTTATTTTACACATTTCCTGTTCTCTGCTGAAATAGTGATTCTTTTTTATTCTTTGAAAACACTTAATCATGTTTTCCTTTTAATTTTTATCAGATATGCCCATTAATGTGAGATCTCCTATGAGTATGCTCCTCTTGTCTATAGCTTTTATCTCCTCATATACCTGTTTTTTTTTAAACAAAGCCTTTTTATTATAGAAAAATAAAACATATATGAAAAAAGATATATATTATGTGTTACATACACACACACCATTTGTATATGTATAAAAACTCCTTTGTATGCACCATCCATTTTCAATAATTACCAACACTTGACTGGTCATCATTTATCTGTACCACTGTCCATGTTTTTTCTTCTTCCACTGACTTTAAAGCAAATCCCAAGACATAGTACTTCAGTCATAAAAATGACTGAAGTATGTATCTCCACTATTTTTACATATAAAAACAAAGGCAGTTCCCTAATGTTATCACATATCCAGTAAGTATTTAAATTTCCTCAATTCCTGAATTTGCTTGGTTATCTGACTGAGTACTGGCCATTATGTGAAAAATTATATAGGTATTGTGATTTCCATTTCCTCCTGGCAAACTGCTGGGCCAAGTGGAGTGCCATCTTAGACAATCTTAGTCAGTTAGCACTGGTCTGTTTTCAGGTCCTCCCTTAGTCAGGATGTATACCCGCCATGATCCCAACTCAAAGCCTGGGATATTCTCCAAGGTTCCTCCCTATGGGCAGACCTCAGCTCTAGACTGTACCATCAGCCCCATGAGTCAGTCAGGATCGCTGTTCAGCTTCTGATCCTATGGCCACTGCTTTTGGAGACTGGCAGTCGCTTTCCCTGGGAATCTCTCCTCGCAAATGCCTAGGTTACCTCTGTGGGCTTCCGTCCTCTCACATAGCTTGGCTCTGTAATTCTCCCTTACCTTGGGAACTCTGATGCTTCAAACACAAGGTTTTTTTATACTTCATCTAGCTTTGCTCTGTCTTCTCTATGGGAGGGCTGGTCTTAGCTACCTAGTCTACCAGTTAGAAAACAGTTTTCAGTTTATTCAGCTTTTTAATTTATTAAGCACCTATAGCATTAGGCTTGCATGTGAGAGGAAGGAAAGGAGTAGGCTGATGTGTTTTGATTTGACTTGACTTTGGCCCTTTTGGTAGACTCCGTATTCAACACATTGTGTGTATGTTATATCTTGGATGTGAAAACTAGCACAGCTATGGTCCAGAGACCCTGCTTCTCCAGGCAAGGAAGATCTTACTTCATGACTTATAAACAGTAGAAGTAATTCATCTTTCATCTAGCAAAGAAAAGTGAGACAAAAATTAAATTAATTTAAAAAGGGTCAGTAATTAAAAAAAGAAAAAAGGAAGGAAAAAAGGAAAGGAAGGACAACAAAGGAAAGAAAAAGAAAGTTAATCAACAATTTAAGTCTCTAGAGACAGCGCTGTCAGGGTTGTATGGTAAAGTCAGACTGAAGCCAAACACATTTGCGTCTGACAGTGACAGACACCCTGTGATTTATCTTACACATTTTCAACACTGACATAGTGCTTACGTTGTGTTACGCTTTATTCTAAGCCCTTTACAAATATTAACTCATTTAATCCTCATAGCAAACATATTAGGAAAGAACTGTTATCTGTCCCATTTACTTTCTTCCTTCCTTTCTTTCGTCCCATTTTTGATGGGGAAACAGAGGCATAGCCAAGATAACTATGTTGCTGAAATTCACGTAGCTGGTGAGCAGTAACCCTGGGATTTAGCTCAGCCCAGTTTGGCTGTAAACTCTGTCTTTAAGCACTCTGCTAAGATATGCTATTTGTAATACCGACACGGAAGAAGTGAATTTTTGAAAGGTTTGTTTTTCCACTTGTTAGAAATCGACACATATTTACCGTATAATTCAGAGTTCTTCTGCATGCTTGAAAAGATGGCCGCTGTAGTGTCGGTAGCACACGTAACTAGTGTAGCTGCTTCAGTGTTGAATGGAAACAAACAGCTTTTTTGTCTCCCTCTCGTCTCTCTCATCTCCCTGGCTCCCGCGTTTTCTTGTGGGCCCTGGGCAGGAAGCGTCTGGGATAAAACTTTGAGAGCTGACTCCGAGTCCTTGCCCCAACCCCACGTCGGCCACTCGGCCACCGTTGCCGTGGTCACGGGCTAGCACCAGGGCCCGTGTCGCATGTCTTCTGTGATGCAAGGAGACTCCACACTGTGGTTTGGGGTGGAGCACATCCGTTCTGCCCCGTTAATTCCCCACTTTTCTTTCTCCTTCCTCCATGCAGTAGCAGGTTTATCTCCTCAAGAAGTTAAGGTCGGAAAGTTTTCTGTTTCAAAACATCAGCAGCATGCTGTGGTGGTTTACAAGACTCTTTCAGAGAACGAGAACTAATGTTTATCGGCAAATAGCCTGTGGCCGCAGGCTGTGGTCTTTCTAACTTCAAAACACAGGCCTTTTTTTAAAAAAAAAAAACGATTCTTCTACCTTCCTCCCAGGAAAATTAGTTTTTTTATGTGTGTTTTTTTGTTTCCCTGGCTTGTGCTGCCTAGCAAAGGGTGTTTCAGTTATCCTTATAAACCTTCCGCAGACCTTGTCTAGATCATCCTCACGGGAATTAAACATAAACTTCTCTGAAATGAGCAGCTCTCACCATTTCCCTTCCTCAGGGGCTACGCCATTGCCAGCAGCAGTGACGACCGCATGAATGAGCCGCCAACGTCCCTCGGCCTCGTGCCTCACCAGGTGAGTGAGAGGAAATGAAGTTGCAACTCCAGGCTCCCTCCTGGCGGTGCAGCAAGAAAGTATTTGGGGGTCACCTTACCATGCCATCCTCCTGGCCCACCTCTCCCCCACCCTCCTGGCACTCCTGCTTCCTTGGAATTTATGTGCACCCAGAGGGGATCCCGGGCTGCAGAATGGTGACGAGAAGAAACCCTGAACAAACAGTACTATCCAGGCTTGATTTAGCATTTCTCATGTTGACTCAGGGCTTCAGGATGGAGTAGAACGAGAGAGAACGAGCTCGAGCCAACCAGACAGCAGCGTCAATCCCAACCCTGCAGTTATTAAGGTGGTCTTCCTTGGCCATGTCACCAAACTCAGAGCCTTAGTTTCCTTATCTGTAAAATGTGGGCAAGAACACCGACCTCGGCTGGTAGCGGCAGAGATGAGAGGTGGGGTATAGAAAGGCCTCGGCAACAGCGCCTAGAGTGTCACAGCCCTCAGTGAATGATGCTGCCAGCTTGTTGCTGTTGTTTGTTATTATCATCAACTCCTCAGCCAAAGAACAGCCTTTCCGGGCATGCACGGTAAGACCATTAGAAGTGCAGTGTCACCAAAAAGTAGGGCGTCTTTTCAGAAAAAGAATCTGAGGCTTCCTAAGGAAGGCCCATGCCATAGAGAGTGAAAGAGAATGAAAAAGTTAAGTTTGTGCTCCCTCTGCACCAGTTTTTGTGACCATGCTTTTGGAGGTTTTCTGGACTTGGAAGTCATCTGAGTTCTGTGCGTGTGTGTATTTCACTCTGTAGAGGAGGGCCGTCTCATGAAAGCAGCAGTGAGAGTGCCCGACAGTCCTGTCTGGGGGGCCGTGAGGACAGACCCCCAGATGGGTGCAGAGAGCAGGGTGATTCACACCAACCTTATTCGCCTTTCTCTCTGCCTCCGCACACCTGCCCTGTCGTTTTCTGGTTGAGGGTCTACATCAGAAGACAGGAAGTTACTTGTCCCCTTTCATAGAGAGTAGTGGGTGTGCTGAAATCCAAACCTCAGCATGGCACTCTGACCAGGGCTGGCTCTGAGGTTTTTGAGTGGAAGCGGCCCTGGCCTGCACATGGGGAGTTGTCGTTCAGTCACTGAGTCATGTCTGACTCTTTGCGACCCCATGGATTGCAGCACACTGGCCTCCTCTGTCCTCTGCTGTATCCAGCTGTCTGCTCAGATTCGTGCTCATTGATTCAGTGATGCCGTCCAATCATCTCGTCCACTGTCACCCCCTTCCCCTGCCTTCCGTCTTTCTCAACATCAGGGTCTTTTCCAATGAGCCGGCTACTTGCATTATGTAGCAAAAGTATTGGAGCTTCAGCATCAGTCCTTCCAGTGAATATTCAGGGTTGATTTCCTTTAAGACTGACTGGTTTGATCTCCTTGCAGTCTAAGGGACTCTCAGAGTCTTCTCCCTTCACTTCAAGTCACCACTCTGGGCCACTTGCACAAGTCGCCCGTCACAGCCTCACATTAGGTCATTCACCTCCCCTAGCCTCAGTGTCCACACCAGGTGCTCGACCTCGTGTCCAGAACTGTCTAAAATGATGAGGCTTTGTGAACCATGAAACACCATGCAAATGGGACTTTTCCAGCCTCCCTCGTTCAGGAGGGCATTTGTATGACATGAATAGGTTAACCTTTTCTGCAGAAGCACCTCAAGTAGGACCCAGCAGACCCTGCGCTGAGCCCCATGATGAGGAAGCAACCTTCCAGAGCCGGCCTCTGCTGGGGACGTGCTCACGTGAATCCCCACCCTCGCCTCTCTTCACAAGTTGCTGACCTTGAGGTGTGTCCTCCCCTCCTTCACAGATTTCACACTAAGAAGGGCCTTAATTAAATTTTCAGTCATGCCCCCGCACCAGTTTCTGTCTTGAAGTCCTTGATGTTAAATTACCACAGTTGTGGTTTTCTAGGTGCTGAGGCCAGAGGGCAAAACAAGAGTGTTTATAGAAGGGGTCCCGTGTCAAGACGCGTGCCCATGTTTTTCAAGTACTATGGCAACTAATCCTCCTCAGCGTTACTCACCCCCGTGGGGCCTGGCGATTGTTTGTCAGTCACCCACTCTCCCACTTCTTTCTCCTCATTTTCCAGCGTCTGAAGGATTATTCTGGTTGTTGGCCATCTCTTCATTTGGCCTTTTCAGAGGCTGAAGGGTAACGCAGCCATATATGGGAAAGGCCCAGTGCGTGCGGGTGACTGCTTGCTTACATTATTTCAAGTGTCAAGCCTTTATTTTTAGCCACTTTCTAAAAAAGACAGTGGGGAAAGAACTTTACGATTATTCAGGGTTGTGTGGTCCCTATTTAGAGGCTTTAAATTTCTTCCCTCTTTTTTTTTTCTTTTTGAAGTGGAGTGAGTCCATGTAAGCAGCCGTGCTTTGACTGGGAGACATGGCATTTCCATGAACACGCTGGGCTGTGTTGCAGTGCAGACTCGGCACCAGCACCGTCCCCTTCCCGGCTCTCCCCGACAAATGACTTCCTGTCGGGGAGGAGCTCCCGAGCCCCGCTGTGTGCGCTGTATACAGAGGGCAGCCCAGGACATCCCCAGGCTCGGTTTGCTCCATTCCCCGAAGGAGAGCGTTCATTAATTGGCCCCCGTGGAATGAGATGTAGTAGAAAAGTGATAGTCCTTGAATGGAGAATCCCAAAGCCGCCCACCCACCAGCCAGTCGGTCGTATAATCTGGGGAAGCTTGCTTCACTTCCTGCTCTCTTGTCTGCTTTCCCCGGGGTCAGACCTGGGAGGCCTGGGGGTGACTTAGTCTATCTTTCTGTAGGCCCACAGGCAGGCTTTGGCTCATCCAGAGACGGGCCAAGTGCAGGAAAAGTCTTCATGAAGGCCCTGAAATTCAGTGATACCCAGCCTGGGGGGAGAAAAAAAACCCCAAAACCTCTTACTGCATTTGAAAACCGTGAAGAAACCATTTGAAGGTGAGAAAATAGGCTTATGGGTTTGTGCTTTTTAAAAAGCCTCCAGCCCATTGTATGTAACCAGGATTCTACAAGCAGACGACCATGAGTATAAGCCCCTTTCTGTCTGTAATGCGCTTTTAATTTGTCATTTTTATCCACATATAAAATGCACACTATCACACAGATCATGAAATGAACAACTTGGATTATCATAAAATGAATACCACGTGTGTACCCAGCACACACATCAAAATGAAATCTTGTCAAGCACCCCCACAGCCCGTTTCATGCTTCTTCCAGTTATCATGGCCTCCCTTCCAGTCAGAGACAAGCCTCTCTTGACTCTGAACACCTCAGGAAACTTCTGTCTCATTTTGAACTCTCTGTAAATGAAATGATATGGTACATGCTCTTTGGAGTCTGGCTTCTTTTGTAGAGAGAACTTTGTCACTGTCGATCTTAGCATGCTGTCATTCCCCCTGCTGCTTGATGAGTGGGATCTTTAATTTATTTAATTTTATTTTTTAAAGAAGCTTGTCTTTTTCCTGGCTCCTGGGGTCACGACTGAGTTCTGTGAGGCCAGACCCCTCCTTTTCTGGTTCTTTGCGGGAGGCGCAGTTCAGGAGTTAGCAAAAAACTGCGACTCCTGACGTCGCCGGGCGGTTGGTGTGCAGACTGGTGAGACAGATGTGACGGAAATTTGCAGCCGATAAAGCTCCTGGACATCCCTCAGAGAAGGAAGAGCCTCGTGGCGATTCAGTAGTTGTCCGAACACCACGGTCGTGAATCTAGCATTCCCACTTTCATCCCACTGTGGACAAGGCCGTTCACCTTTTCAGTCTTTGTGTGAAGGTACTCTCGGTCCTCAAGCACTACTCAACGAAGACCCTTGATGGGTATGCCCCTCCTAGGGGTTTGGTCTTGCCAACCCCATGGTTCTCTTGGGCTCTTGAGTTCTTCCTTTTAGTTAATTTCAGAAAAATAGGACAAAGCCCAAACTAGGGCAGGACCTGTAGAGGGACCAGCCTGGGAAATCTCCCCACCGAGACGAAAGCTGAGCTGGAGCTGTGGGCTCCAGCCACGCCTCGGCCTGTCTGCACACGCTGTGCCCCACGAATTCTCAGGCCATTACCTTTTAATAAGGTGTCTGTTTTTTTTGTTTTGTTTTTAAATTTTTTTAAATTTATTTTCTATTTGGCTGTGCTCGGCCTTCGCTGCTGCAAGGGCTGCTCCCTAGTTGCAGCGTACGGGCTTCTCTCGTTGCGAGCCTTCAGGCCTGTGGGCTCCGTAGTTGTGGCTCCTGGGCTCTGGAACACAGACTCAGTAGCTGAGGTGCTTAGGCCTAGTTGCCCCATGGCATGTGGGATCTTCCTGGACCAGCGATCGAACCCTCATCCCCTGTATTGGAAGGCAGATTCTTCACCACTGGGACCAGCAGGGAAGTTCCAGCTTGGGTATAATTTCATCAGCTGAAGGAGGTCACTCATGCCCCACAGGTTTCACTCACCTGATAAGGCTGTCCTGTGTGGGAAGCCCACATGGCAGGGAACCTGAAGCTCTATGATCATACAGAGCCAATTAGAATCCCAACTTTGCCTCTTCATTTTCATCAGCTCATTTGACAAAAGGGGTTTGAGGAGGTTCTTGCCACTTGTCAGTGTGACCTTGGGCATGTTACTGGTCCTTTCTGAACTTCATATTTTAAATTACTGGAATGGGCATAATAATACACTGGGATTAATGTACAGGTTAAATTATAGTTTCTAAATACTAGCACACCCAAGAAGGGCATGGCAACCTTCTCCAGTACTCTTGCCTGGAGAATCCCCATGGACAGAGGAGCCTGGTGGGCTATATAGTTCATGGGGTCACAAAGAGTCAGACACACATGTAAAGAATCTTAGTTCCCTGACCAGGGCTTGAACCCACTTTCCCCTACATTGCAAGGTGGATTCTTAACCACTGGACCACCAGGAAAAGTCCCTTCTTTCACTTTTCATTAAAATGGTAAAGTGGGAGCTTATCTACTCTCCTAAAAAGGAGGTTACAAGGAATCTCATAAAAC